TGCTGCGGCGCCTGTTTGCGACCCATGGTATACCCGATGTATTGGTCAGTGATAACGGGACGCAATTTACATCTATGGAGTTTGAAAAATTTCTGGCTGATAACGGAATCAGGCAGATTACATCGGCCCCATTCCACCCGGCTTCGAATGGCCAGGCGGAAAGAATGGTAAGAACCACCAAAGAAGCACTGAGTAAATTGGTTTATGGTGACTGGGGGGTAAAGTTAGCTTCGTTCTTGCTCAGACAGCATGTTACCCCTTGTTCAGCAACTGGCCGCAGTCCGGCCGAAATGCTGATGGGCCGGAGGCTGGCAACCGTATTAGATAGGTTGCACCCGGACCTGAAGTACCTTAAACCACCACAGCAGAGTGAACAAACGAAGGTACGCATATATGAGAAAGATGACAAGGTGTATGCGAGAAATTATGCCAGTGGTCACTTGTGGCTCCCAGCCACTATTGTTGAAACTGTTGGGTCCAGAATGTATGTGGTACGACTTGCTGATGGTCGCAAGTGGCGTAGGCACGTAGACCAGTTGAGGCAACGGTGGGCGACTGGCCGACCCAACGCGTTGCCAACTGAGTCAATAGACCCCGAGGACCTTCCGAGACCTCCCCTGGAGGCGAGTGCTGATGGGCCTGAGGGCATCAGCACTGTTCCAGAGGCTGGGCAGACCCCTCCTCTCGAACTAGGTGTAACGGATGGAAGTGTTCCTGGCTCTGAGGTCCCAGAGCCAACCGAAGTGCCACTGACGGAATCGAGCCCTGAGCCGAGTCCACCGAGACGGTCTCAGAGAACGAGACGAGCACCTTCCTACCTAAGCGATTATGACTGTTCGTGAGGTATTTTTTGCTTAGGGGGGAGGGATTTGTAATGTATTCAGATGCTGCCCTGAATGCATTAGGAGGTATGTGAATCCTCCCATAGAGAAGCCATGCAAAGCTTCAAGCTTCGGCAGGGATTCGCGCCGAAAAGTATTGTGTCCAATCAGATTTGAATGTTTGTAAGCGGGACCGCTTATGATTGGTCGTTCATGCGCACAACCTGATAGGTTGGTTTAATGTACAGTAGGTGTGGCTACATTAGCCCGGAATGTTTAAATACCGAGCAGCTGAAATGGACAAGCTGTTCGGGCTATGAGGAGTTGTACCGTGTCAGAAGAAGTCGATTGAAGAGCTGAATAAACCTGAGTTTTCTGAAATCACTCTCTGACTACTTTGTTAAGTACGGACTTAACACCGGGGGAAAGCGCTCCACTTGTTATGTGCTCCCGATCCTAAATGCGAAAGTTCAGCTGGGGTCCAGGATTCCAAGAGGGTGCCGCTGCGTAGTCGGCCAAAGAACCGCACCACTGTCCCTACCACTACCAGCCCCCAGGGGAAAGCGCCTTTGAAATCCAGCAGCATTTCCACAGCAGTTGACGCTGGGACATTGGGGCCAGTCATCTGTTCAAAGGCAAGAAAGAGCAAAACATCCCGCGGGGAGGATCCACAGGCATTGGGCAAGGCTTGGAGAAGTGGATGCAACTTGTACAAATGCCAGCTATACTGGTCTCATAAATAGCAATTAATTGCAAAAGAGCCTCTGGGCATGTGCAGTGTGCTTCGTCAGCACTGGATGACTGCGGGTTTTCTGGAATATTTCACAGCCCTTCGTTGACCAGCTTGTAGCCCCGGAATCCATTGACTGGATCCTTGATCTCCAAGTCTGGTTTTGTCCATTGCCCCCCCCCCCTTGGGGAAACCTGTATGGAGGGCACCCGGCACATCTAACCCTATCTGGACAGGAACCATTACAACCCCCCCCAAAAAACCCCTACCCCCAAACTAATTCGTTTTATTGCTCACCAGTGCTAACCATCGTCGTGTCTAACGAGACGGTGTGGAGTAGCAGAGAGGCTCCAGCTTGATGAAGTCTCTCCGAGGGTGATGGGTGTGCATGGCCGGAATCTCAGGCTTGGATGCCCTGCAGGGTGATTTGTGCAGAGGTGGCCCTTGGATCCGGGCTGGCTCTCGTGCAATTCACTGCGTGCCTCCTGGGATTGTGCTGCCTAGGCCCAAATCCTGACTCGAGCTACAAGTTCACTGATCGGCCGCTGAGACATTAGTCTCCCGACCCCAACCTTGGAGGATCAAATGAAAGAGGACCGAACTCCCCCTCGGAATGGGGGAGATGAGATTCTCGCCTCAGAAGCAGCCCTGCGGAAAGCGGGCAGGTGGAGAGAGAGGTGGCGGTTAGTGGCAGTCATGGGGAGCGGCTGCCGGGGGCAGCAAAGAAAGGTGGCAACTGCCTGCCCCCTGGGCTTACATGGTGCTGGTCTTCGGTGCTGCCTCACCTCCCAGGCGCTGGTGACACCGCTCTCCTGAGTGAAGCCTCATTTTTCACCCATCTCACACTCTCCTCTCCCCCCCCCCCTTGAGGGAGAATTTTAAAAAGTGCCTCCTGCCCCCGCGCATGGCCTCGGGCAGGTAGGGGGCCAGGGCGGTGGCTGGGCAGAGGCACAGGAGGAGGCTGAGGAGGCGCAGGAGGCAGAGGTGGAGCTCCTCACAGGCCTTGCTGGGGCCCGCCTTGCAGAGGTGCCACGCCAGGGCCGGCATGAGGACAGGCAAAGCCTGGGTGGGCTAGGTGCTGCGGCCCAGGCAGTGGCGAAGCAGCACGAGGGCCAGCTCATGGCAGCTTTCCGCTGGGTTGGCCAGCGGGCCAGGAAAGGTGAGGGGAGGCTGCTGGGAGCAGGGGTGGGGCTTGCTGCATGTGCCTGCCCCCTGGGCTCCTTACTGCCGGAGTGTCGCTCCAGTGCACTCCAGCAGGAAACGAGCCCTGGTCATATTATGATCTGGGAGACCCTGGTTTGAATCTGTACTTTGCCATGGAAACTCACTAGGTGACTGGGCCAGTCAGTCACTTCCTACCTCAGAGGGTTATTGTTGTGAGGATATAATGGAGAATGATACTGTTAGCTGCTTTGAGTCCCCATAGGGGAAAGAAGTGGAGCATAGCTATCTAAATAAATATGTATTGGGAAATGGTACCTGGGAGATGAGGATTTTGGGAGATATATGTTGGGAAAGTCCCTTAAATAGATACTGAAATATATTGAGATTTCACAGTGCCTTGCTCTCATTCGTCTCCTCTCCTCTTCCTCTGTGGAGGACTTCATGACAGTACAGTTACTGTACATCACATGTTTATGAAATCCCTATGATCCTGTAATACAGGTTTTAACATCAGATTGTGGTGATGGATATACAGGAAACGGAATACACAAGCCATTCCTGATCTCATCCAAGGTACAGTCCTTGGAGTCATGTAACACGTAACAGCCATTAACCAACATAATTTATGTTTGCCTCAAGCTAGGTTTTATATATGTGCAGCATGTTGATGTATTACTTCCATGATCCAATTAATAGTTAAAGAAATTTGCAAGCTGCAAATTAATTGGCAGGACTTTAAACCAATGGAGTGTTTTAAAGTTAAGGTAACTAATTATTATGTTTTTATTGGCCCTGACTTTTTCCCCATTTATACACTTACAATCATATGCTTACAGCTGAAGCCACTATTCTGTTTTTGTTGTTTAAACTGAATGTGATATATACAGTCTAAGTTTTGCATGTACCATTAGTTACTTATATCACTGAGACCTAAATTAGCAGTGATCCTTGGTTTTTATGGGAGTCCTCAAGAATCATGGCCTCAGTGTGTGCCTCTAGAATACGAGGGAGTGTGGACTTCTCCCATGCTTAGCCACTGCTTCTGTATCTGAAGTACTACTACTGTTCCTTCTCTGTACCACTGCCAGCTCTTCACTTCCTCTTCTACCCTCCCTCCATATTAACATGAAGAATCAGCTCCAGACTCACATGGGGCTGCATTTGTGGCTGTGGGGCTGGGAGCGAAATGAGGGAGGCTACATCGTGGGCTTTGAGCCTGCTTCGGGAGCCTGGAGGGGATTGGGACCTTACTGTGAGCCCTGGTTGGCCAACCAGCTCTCCTTTAGGCTGGCTGGAGGGGTTGAGTTCTGGAAGTGGTCCCAGAGCTCAGGGCTTCTGTTCTGGCCCATCCCCTTTCTATCTGGGCAGCTGCCATGGAGTGTTCCCTGTCATTTCTTTTTTGGCTATTCCTCCTACCCTATCTTTAGTTGGGTTGTTATGGGTTTGTATTTTGTTCACTAGGTTTTGTCACAGCTGTGGTGGGTGCTTTGGGCAATGGGATGGATCCAATGGGGGGGGGGAGGCTGTGCCTGCATTCTCACCTCCTCCTCTTGGGAACTCCCATAAGGGGTCTTGGGGGTGGAGCCACTCAGCTACATGCCTAGGCAGGGGCTGTCAGCTGGCTTTCACCACAAGGTGGCAATGGAACCACACGGCAGCAGCTGCCCAAGTGGCATCCCAGGGCTTGCAACTCCTCGGTTCGGTTTTCCCCCCCCCCCCCAGCAGGCGGGCTGGAGGGATGTGGTTATATCGGGCAGCAGGCAAGTTGCCCGATGCCAGATCCATCCCCATGCTGCACCAAATGCTCCTTCTGCTGTTTTCAATAAAAGCTGTGGCCTATTTCTATATAGTATCTTTGCCTCCTTGCCCAAGCTCCCACCCTTGCCCCCTCGGTCCATAAAGGGGGATGGGCTGCACCCATGGTGAGAAAGACAGTCTGTAGGAGTAGTAGCAATAGATCGAGGAAATTAAACCATCGTTGGTATGGACAGATCCAAAGGGAAGGGAACAGATGGGAAATTCTATCCTCTTTGCCATGATCATATCTTGGTGGAGGAGATATCGTAATGGAACCGTGGTTAAGTAGTGGCCATGCTGGGATGTGGACGCCAGCAGCTGCTTGAACGTCCAACACACACTCCTGACATTGGCCCTGTCATGCATATCATGCAGGCATGAAAAGGCAATTACTTGCCTAATTAGACTTAAGGTGCTTTGTTTTTGTTGTTGTTGTTCAGCTTTCAATTATACATGCAATTTACTGTTTATTTTATCTATACTTGCAGGGGAAGATCCTGAAACAAGAAGAATGAGAACAGTAAAGAATATAGCAGACCTGAGACAGAACTTGGAAGAAACTATGTCCAGTCTTAGAGGAACTCAGATAAGCCACAGGTATTATTGCAAACTGTAATGTCGGTAGGATATTTTGGCTGTTTCTGTACTTAATATAATAAGTACAGGATATTTGTAAATTCAAATGAAGTTGAAAATAGGAGGCTATTTCTTCCACCACATGCTCCTAATAGTTGAGAAATGTTCATTATCCAGAAGGCCCTGTTTGGGTGACATTCAGCAGTCTGCTCCTAGCATATTTATATTTTTTTCAGTTTCTTGTGGATTAAGTTGAATTCTTGATATAAAATAGCATTCCTTTGCAACTTCTTTTACAGAAAACTGTCATTCCTTTTCTGTACAGCATTTTGTGTATTTATTTATTTATTTATTTATTCCATTTATACCCCACCCTCCCCGCCAAAACAGGCTCAGGGCAGTTTACGTATAAAGTTAAAATACATAAAACAAATCTCTCTTATATATAATTGCAGAATGGTGGTGGCTTCCGGCCTATGGGGTGGCAAGATTGCATGCACTCGCCCAGCCATTGGCCCGTCAGCTGCCAGTCAAGACTACTGGTGTGCCATTGGCCGGGTGTGCTGCTCTTCCCCGCCCACTCCCCCTTCCACTCTGTCCTGTCAGAATTCCTGGCAAATGGCTTTGTCTCTTTGACGAAGATGCTTCTCCTGCTTGCCTCCTTTTCCCTCAGTGGCTGTTGGTAGGTGTAACGAAATGGCAGTTACCTGTGTTTGTAAGATGGCTGCTGGGCTGCTGTCTGTGGTTTGTTTGAAATGTTCCACCATAAGGTTTAATTGAGCTGTAGTTCCAGAAAGGTATCACTCACTGGGTTGAATGGGGCTTCCTCATCTGCTGGACTACAGTTCCCAGCTGCCCCAAGGCAGAAAAGGGCGGGAAAACAGGGACTGTCCCAATGCACGAGGCGGAATCAATAGAGACTGCAGCCCATCCAGGGAGGAGGCCGTCTTCGTCCTACAGGAGGTTAGGAAAGGCTCCTGCTGCCTGTGCTGACCAGGCTGTCCAGACCATAGGCCAAAGACGTGGGGGAACCCTGCTATCTTGGGCCAGAGAGAGAGAGGCTAGAGCAGAGACCCAGAGGCCGGTGTGTGGAAAGAGGATGGTGTTTAACCCCTGTGGATTTATGCTGTGTTGGTTCATACAGTTGGTTCATACACTCCTACACTGAGTGTGCACGCTCCATAACTGTGTAGTTAGATAAATTCTTTTATTTGGGCTAATAATCGGTGTTGTGTTCTGACCACATAGTCTCCCCCACACTGCACAATAACAAAGCCCAAGGAGGCAAGGAAAGGCCAGACCCTTGGGTTGCCAACTTTCCAGGGATCCCCCAAAGATTGGGGATTCAATCTCCAGATACGGAGATTTGGCCAGAGGCGTCTCACTGTCCCTCTGAAAAGGCAGTGACAATTCAGTGAGTCGTGGCAGCGAATTTAAGGAGTGAGATGTGTGCACAGGACGAGGGTGGGAGGCAAGCAGCTGAGTGGTAAACTGGAGCCCGTTTCACCACAGTAGGCAGCCAAGCTCGGTTCAGACAAAGGAAGGAAACCCTTTGCAGGCCTTTGTGAGGAACTCATTGGGGCCAGTACTGAGTCTAGGGTTGCCAGCTCCAGGTAGGGAGATTCCTGGAGAATTTTCTGGAAGAGTCTATGGAAGCCAGGGTTTGGGGAGGGGAGAGGCCTCAGCTGAACAGAATGCCATACAGCCCACCTTCTAGAACAGTTATTTTCTCCGGGGGGGGGATCTGTTGTCTGAAGTTCAGTTGTGATGTCTGGTGGTCCTCAGGTTCCACCTGGAGGTTGGCTGCCCTAGGCGTAGTGGTCAGTGCTTCAGAGCAGGGTCTGCTAGACCCAGGTTCTTGCTGTAGAGGCTGAATGGGTGATTTTGGACTGGTCACAGACATTCAGCCTAAACTATCTCACAGGGTTGTTGTGCAAGTCAAAAGTGGGAGGGAAGAATTATGTAAGCTGCTTTGGTCCCCATTGCAGAGAAAGACTACTTTTCCTCCTGGGGAACCATTGTTGCCAATCTCCACGTGAGGGCTGGAGATCACTCAGAATTAAAACTGCTCTCCAGATGGCAGAGATCAGTTCCCCTGGAGAAAATGGTGGACTCTGGCAGCCAGGGCTTCAGAGCACGGGAGAGGCTGCAGGTGTGTGTGTGGAGGGGATGGAAAGCTGAAGAGAGAGGGGAAAATATAGGTAGGTTGATTGGCTGGAAAGGAGATAGGGTTGCCATTCCCAGGTGGGAAATTCCTGGAGATTTGAGGGATGGAACCTGGAGAGGGTGAAGTTTGAGGAGGGGTGGGACCTCAGAAAGGTACAATGCCATAGACTCCACCCTCCCAATCAGCCATTCCTTTCTGGGGGACCACTGTTCCCAATCTCAGGAGAGGGGTGGAAATACTCAGAATTACAACTGATCTCCAGGAGGGAGGGGGGAAGAGATGCAAAGCTGAAATCAGAGAGGCAGATAATGGCAAGTTGATGCTTGGCTGGGAAGGAGATAGGGTTGCCAACTCCAAGTTGGAAAATTCATGGAGATTTGGGGGGTGGAGCCTGGAGAGGGTGAGGTTTGAGGAGGGGTGGAACCTCAGACAGGTACAATGCCATAGACTCCACCCTCCAAACCAGCCATTTCCTCCTGAGTAACAATTGTTGCCGATCTCCAGGTGAGGGCTGGAGATCACTGAAAATTACAACTGCTCTTCAAGTAGTAGAGATCAGTTCCTCTGGAGAAAATGGTGGACTCTGTGTCATTATACCCTGCTGAGGTCGCCACGGCACATTGACGCTGAGTGCCCAAGGCCTTGGCACTCTCCAAGACCCTCTTTCTAGAGCTCATTGTATTTATTTCCACATCGAGCCTTATTTCTAGTTAATTATAAAACCAATTCATAAATTGCTAATTTTTGTTGTTGTTCAGTTGCACAGTTGAGTACAACTCTTTGTGACCCCATGGACCACATCACACCAGGCCCTCCTGTCTTCCGTCGTCCTCCGGAGTTTGCTTAATTTCATGTTTGTTGCATCGATAACACTGTCTAACCATCTTATCCTTTGCTGTCCCCTTCTTCTTAACAGTATCAAATTACATAGTGATGGTGGAATATAATAGTAGGTCAGTCATAATACGATATGGTCAGCATTGAAGTTAGAGCTATTACCTCAATCCATATATGCTGGTGGTATTTAGTATTTGGAAAATTTCTATGCCATCTCTCCAGACATCCCAAGAGAGCATCTTCCGTATATCTGAGATTTCTTATTCCTATTTTAATATCAGCCTTCTTTTACACACCATTCTGGAGTGCAATTTGACATCATTTGGTTATAGATCTTATATGGTTGGTTATAGCTCTTATAGATCTTATATAGTTGATTTTATTCTTGTATTAGATATTGCTAATACTACAGTGTCATTTTGAAATGTGTAGTTATTCAGTACATTTAATAGAATGTTTAAGTTTGCACAAGGACCTTCTTCTGTGTTCTCATAGACCCTGCCATCTCATTTGAATGCACATTTCACCAAAGCATCTTCATTAACAAAATAATGGCATGACACTGTAACAAAATAATTCAAATTTTTTTCAGATCCTAAAACCATTCACATCACAGTCCAAGAGCCAAAGACAAAGAAGTTGTCTAAAATGCCACCATTCATCTGGGTTACGTTTAAAATTTCCATTTGACTGAGACATGGGTTCTGAGATTCTCATTGCCCACTAAAGTAATGGATTTTAATTTTGCCTTTCACTTTTTCCACTATATTTAATGACATATTTTCTTCTGGAAAGCAACTGTAGAAAAGACAGTAAAAATCTATTTTGTGAAAGTGTAACAGATCTTGAATCAGAAAGGTCATCCTGTCAAAAAAAATCCACATCAGACTAGTTTAAGCATAGGTCTCATTTTTCATGAGGGTTTTTGTTTCAATGTGTTCCTTTTCTCAATTTTTTCTATATTTGGAAGCATAGAAAGCACAGTTCATCGGTTTTTGTTTTGCTTGACAGCACATTGGAGACAACATTTGACAGCACTGTGACAACTGAAGTGAATGGGCGAAGCATTCCAGGCTTGACAAGCCGATCCTCTCCAGTAACTTGGAGACTTGGACAAGCTAGTCCTCGTCTTCAGGCAGGTGATGCTCCTTCCCTTGGTGGAGGTTACCCTCGCAGTGGTGCTAGTCGCTTCATACATACTGATCCATCTCGATTCATGTACACCACACCTCTTCGCCGTGCAGCTGTTTCTCGCCTTGGGAATATATCCCAAATAGACATGAGTGAAAAAGGAAATAGTGATCTGGACATCTCCTCAGATGTTGATGTTGGAGGGTACATGAGCGATGGAGACATTCTTGGGAAGAGCCTCCGAACTGATGATATCAACAGTGGGTAAGTTTTTAATCTGCTTGATCCACACACAATGAGGATAGACTATCTGGACTTTGACAAATTTGTTCTACTTTATAATTGCATTCTGAGTGTGAATACTAATGCAAAATAAGGTATATGATGTCACCAAGACTGCTCCAATTTTAACTGTTGAGTTTAGACCTATGAAAAACCAAAATGAATGTGCCCTATTGAGTACGATCTTTGCATGATGACAAAACAAAAACACATAGAAAATCTTTGCTGGGTGACTCTCTAGAAACCGGTGCACCCTGTTCTCTTGGAAGCCCACGGAAGCCTGACTGTGAGACTTTTCTAGAAGCCTCATAATGCCTCTTTTATTTGACTGGTCTTACATGGAACAATTTTTAATCTAATTTCATACGCAGTATTTTATTTGGGGATTTTATTTTGTTGGGTGTCTGCGGTGGCTTAGACGCTGAGCTGCAGACAAGGTCTGTAGTTCAGCAGTTTGAGACCCTAGTGCCACATGACGGAGTGAGCTCCCATCTCTGGCCCCAGTTCCTGCCAACCTAGCAGTCTGAAAGCAAGAAATTGCAAGTAGATAAATAGGTACCGCTTTGGTGGGAAGGTAACAGCGTTCTATGCACCTCGGTGTTTAGTCATGCCACGAAAATGTCTTCAGACAGCACTGGCTCTTCAGCTTGGAAATGGAGATGAGCACCTCCCCCTTGAGTTGGATTCGACTAGCTTTCGAGCAAGGGAAACCTTTACCTTTATATTGGCCCCGTTCACACGGAGCATTTGCTGCGCTAAAGATACGGATGAGAGGCGGATTTTCCGGGCGCGATCACACCGCAACATCTGGGAAGTGTAGTGCACCCGTGGCTAACCCGTGGCTTCGTGCTGAAGATACGGAGTAAAAAACTAGTACTTACAATGTACTAGTTTCCGGAAAACGCGGGGCAAGGGTGGGTGTCTGATCGCGTCCCGTCCTAGTCCCATCGCAAACCGGTTAGTTTTTTTTTTTTAGTCTGCACAGGATGCGCACAAACGATCATGCGCATGCTCACCTTTTGGTGAGAAAAAAATATTCCCGTTTACCACGGAAGCGGTGCCTAGCGATTGCTGGTGTGATTGCGCCACGCTGCTTCTCTGCCGCGCTGCAGGATAGCTGTGTGATCAGCACCCCACGCCCTAACCACAGGACCTTGACGGGATGTGTGATTGGGCAGCCGCGCGTTATTTTGCCCCGGGGCAAACAGCCATACTTCCCCCCCCGCATTTTCCAGCCCGTGTGACCAGGGCCAATGTTAACCTATGACAAATCCTTAGGTCACCAGAATATAATGGGTTGGTAATGGCAATAAATAGAACCTTATTGTAAACTGTTTTTCCTAGTGCCATTCAACCCTCACAGGGAGAGGTGTGGCTCAATGGTAATAAACATGCTTTGTATGCAGAAGGTACCACATTTAGTCTCTGACATCTCCAGTTAAAGGACTTTGAGTAAAAAATGTTGGGAAAAACCGTTCTCTGTGTGGAGCGGCTGCTGCCATTTAAAGTAGGCAATTACTGAGCAGACTCAGTAAGGCATCTTCCTGTGTTCCTATGTTTATATTCTGTGCCAGTCCTGTATTGTGGAGTGCCAGATACATTTCTTTATTTCCTTCCTTACTTATTTATTTAAAACATTTATTAACCTCTTTTCTACCTTGTGGAAGTTAAGGTGGCTTACCATGTACATTTTAAAAAGTATAAAAAATATAAGGTACCACAATTTAAAATCTCAATATGGACTTCAAATAAAGAGTCAGCATTCCTTGGTCTCGATATTGATTGCAGCTGTATGACAGGTGATTGCAGCCAACTGGAAAAAACCAAATGAGCCTTCCATAGATGCCAGGTTTGACAAACTTTGGGATGTTTATATCATGGGGAAAACAGTAAACAATTCTTTCTTTGTTAGTTCCCAGTTGTCTCTTTCACCCAGAGATTATGATGAAATCTGGAAGCCAGTTATTGGGTTTCTGAGACACAATGAAGTTCTTCCATGAAGAAATGATTATACAGTCTGGTTAAAATTGTAAGACTATTCCAAACATGTGTCAATATGAGTTGTTTTGTGGGTGTATGAAAATTGTATGAAAATTTAGGTTTAACTTAGATTTTCTGGGAGTATCTACCAGTCGATAATGTTATAATAGTTTTATTTTTGGATTGCTCTTTTTTGTGTACGTAGCAATTAGTAAAGTATTTTTTTTAAAAAAAGGACTTCCAATAAATAAAAACTGAATTAGTCAAATGTAGTCTTGAATAACGCTTTCTTCTACTGAGGATTGAAAATGAGAGAGCCAGGTATTCTTCCCTAGTGAGTTTGTTCTATAATCATGGAGCTGCCACTAAAAAGTCCATCACTTGTGTGCCCACCAGATGAGTTTCTTTGGTTAGTGGAACAAAGTTTGAGTTTAGTGGCACCTTTAAGACCAACAAAGTTTGATTCAAGGCACAAGCTTTCGTGTGTATGCAAACTTCTTCAGATATTTCTTCAGATACAGAAGTGTGCATGCCTATGAAAGCTTATACCTTGAATAAAACTTTGTTGGTCTTAAAGGTGCCACTAGACTCAAACTTTGGTTGGTGGGAAAGTCAGGACTCAGGAGGGCTTCTCCCTGTGTTCTTAATTCCCAGGCTAGAATGTGTAGAAAAAGACGGTCTTTCAGATACACCAGTCCCAAGCCACGCAGGACTTTAAAGAACAAAACCAACACTTTGAATTGGGCTCGGGAACATATTGGTAGCCAGTATAATTTCTATAGGATTGGGGTTACATGCTCCGGATAGCTGGCCCTGACCAGCAGTCAGCCACAGCATTCTGCACTAGTGGCAACTTCTGAACTCTCTTCAAGGGTAGCCCCAAGAAGTCTGCATTGCAGTAGTCCAGTCACTTTGGCTAGATCAAACTGAGCCAGGAACAGGCACAGCTGGTGCACCAGCCAAAGCTGGACAAAGGCACTCCTTAGGTATGAACCTAGCTTCTCAAGGAGAGTATAACCCCATCTGAGAGGGGGGAGATCTGATTCCTGTGTGCTTTTCTGCTAATCCAGAGAACCTCTGTTTTATCAGGATTAAGTTTCAGTTCGTTCACCCTCATCTAGCCCATTATTGACTCCAAGCACCATTTCAGAATGTTATGTATCACAATGGAACCGTACTTGCGAAAGGGCTCGCAAGCGAACATACGAAATAGCGTAGCTTGGAGCGCATCACAATAGAAGGCTTGGTTCCTAGAATGAGCTAATAGATAGATCCGGATCCTAGTAGTAGCCAGTGTGTAAACAATACTCTGTAAATAGCCTATCGTGGGATGTGGGGTGTGTGTTGGGTGTGGTGTGTTTCATGAACATAAGCAGGGCTCTGACCCTGCTAGTTTGTCTTAGTTTTGGAGCTGAAACCACTTAATAAACATGAGCTAATCACTCTACACGTCTGTACCCAGTGTATTTCACAGAACATCAACAACATCATTGGAATTGGGGGGAGGGGAAATGGCTGAGCTGGGTATCATCTGCATATTGGTAACACCACAGCTCATACCTCCTGATGACCTTTCCCAGTGGCTTTATCAGTTATCAAATAGCAGAGGAGATAAGATTGAACCCTGCAGAAACCCGCAGGCCAGTGGCTGTGGGGCAGAGCAGGAATCTCCAAAACAACTTTCTGTGACTGACCTCCCAGGTACATGAAGCCATTTCCCCCCATGTTTTTGCAGCCAGCTAAACCTGAGATTTAGTAAGTCCCTAGAGGACTTTCCATACTTAGTTGAAAGGCTGTGTTTGGTTTGATGGATTGCTAACTGTGGTCTGATTTAAATCTTCTGCTTTTAAATTAGTGGTGGATTTGCTGCTGACTTCCACAGAGGCCAAAATAGAGCAATGTTAATACACGGGAATAGTTCAGATTTAAATGTTTTATCATGTGAAGCATTTCCACTGCCCCCCCCCTCCTTTCATAGATGGCAGACTGGTTCATATGGAGCAGGCAAAGCCCTTTTCTGACAAGCGTGAATTTTCTATACCTGCTTGTCACACACAATCTATCATTTATATGAGTAACATGCTTTTTTTGCAGTTTCTGAATTCTGTGTGTTACAGTTGACCACAGGAATACTCTTGGAGATGGGAAGGTATCGTTTATTATCTAGTAGGAGGTACTTTTTATGCTATTTGATCTCTTTTTCATGATTTGATGATGAAATGGTTGTAGAGTAAGCACAAAGGATTTATTTGGGCTAGCTCAGCAGCCACATAGACACTATTAAAATGTCAGCACAGAAGAATTATCCACAGCTTTGCTAGTTAGTCTGATTGTAGCTCTGTTCTTGGAGACAGCAGTCACCAACCCAATGATTGTTCTTGTTACTCAACAAAATCTTTCAATTCTTTGTTCTATGTTGTGAGAGAAAGTCTTATGAGATTTAAGGAAAATGTTTTATCCTATTTGTATATCCATTGTTATGACTGTTCCAGTGGTATGGTATCCAGTGTTATCACTCTTATCGTTCATTTCCATCTAATATAGTATTATTTCACATTCTAGGTCAGAACTAGATATTGTAAGAGAGACAAAATTGTCACCATGCCATGTCTCTTTGACCCCTCCTCCAGCTACACAACACATGATGTGATGTCATTCTGTTATCTATGTCACCATCTCATGTCAAACCTTAGCTGACAGGGACAGGGCAATATGTAGTGCAATAACATCCTGTCAGGCAAGGTGTTCTGGTAGACATTACAACAAAGAGGGAGCAAAGAGAAGAAGAGCAGCAACTCCATCTCTCCTATGATGTCCAGTTCTGTCCTTATATGGCATGTGTTTCAGCCAATAAAAATGCACAGGTTTAGGTGTTCCAGTATATTAATGGAATACTATGTGGTTGTATCAATATAAAGACACTCCGTGAATGATTTACGAACAAAAGCAGAAAGATTATATTGTACAAAACAATTCAAACAGTTTTAAATCTTTGTTAAAGT